TTCTGGAAGCTGGAAGGCCAAGGTCGAGGTGCCAGCAGGGTTGGTCTCTGGCGAGGGCTCTCTTCCTGGTTTGCAGGCCGCTGCCGTCTCCCTGTGTCCACACGTGGCCTTTTCTCTGTGCACCGGGAGGGGCGCTCTGGGGTCTCTCCCCCTTTTTATAAAGGCCACCAGGCCTCTCGGAGGAGGGCCCCACCCTGGTGACCTCATTTAACCTGAATTACCTCCTTAGAGGCCCATCTCCAAGCACAGTCACATTGGGTTGTCACAGTGGATTTGGGGGGGCACGATTCAGTCCACGGCACAAGGGCTGCCTGTTCCGGCGTTGGCCGGAGTGGCCTGGCTCTGCGGGCCCTGTGTGTTCAGTCCTGGGCTGGGGCGGCCCTGGGCGAGCGTGGCCTCTGGCGCGTGCTGTGCTGGATCCGAAGGCGCAGCACCTGGACATGGCCACCAGCTCCCACGGTCACGGTCACACAGGTCCTCTCTTGAAGGGAGAGCTGGTGGCCCGCCCGTGGCTGCCACGGTCGTAGTGATAAGGGCAACACTCACCTGGAGTCGGCAGGGTGCCAGCATCGTCCTGGGGGCGCAGCCTGCTCGTGGAGTCCCTGCACAGCTCCGTGCAGAAGGTCCCGTTGTCACCCCATTTTACTGACCGGGAAACTGAGGCCAGAGAGCCTGACTTTCCCTGAGGGTGTCACGGCAGGGATCTGACCCCCAGCCTCCCAGCCTGGCCCCTCCCCCTGTGTCTGAGGGTGGCTCTGGGCATCTGGAGGATTCACAGCGTTCGCACCTCTTGTGTCAACTTCAGCTGTGAAAGTGTTTAATCATCACCCTCCCTGAGCATCCGGCTCTAAGGGACAGGCCCAGGGCCAGGAGCGCTCACTTCATCAGGACCCCACCCCTCTCTGATGACATCCAGTGTTGGTTGATAGGCTTGTAATAGGAGTTTGAAGGCGGAGCCCAGAGAGGTCTGGTACTTTGTCCAAGGTCACACAGCAAGCCGGCAGCAAGCCCAAGAAGAGAGCCCTCAGTCTCCTGCTTCCGGCCTAATCATAAGAAATTCCCCGAGCCCTGCCTCAAGGCAGCTTGGCCCCCTGCAGAGTCACCTGGCCCTGGGTTCAAATCTCACATCTGCCCCTCTGAGCTAGGCGATCTTGGGCTCAGGGCATCTCGTCTCTCGGCCTTCATTTCCTTGTTGGAAAATGAAGATGGCAGCATCCACCTTACCGGGCTTCACCAGGGGGAAGTGACTCCGCCTCCCTGTGCCTCAGTTTCCCCATCTGTAAAATGGGGAAACAACAGGCCCTACCTCACAGTGTCATGGTGAAGACTGAAGGAATTCCAATCCATTTAAAGTGCTCTGGCTGTTAGGATTTGGTCTCAGCCTGACTTTGGCTGAGTCATCTAAACCCCCCCACTTTCTCCCTCAAATTGAGGAGCCAGGAGGCAGTGGAGGGTGGGAAGAAGAAGCCCCAGGGCCCACTCAGCCCTGCCCCCAGCTGGCTGGCAGACTTCAGGGAGGTCACCGAACCCCACTTTCCCCGTCTGTGCACTGGGGGATGTTGACAAACTGACCTCATAGGTGTGACTTTCCAAGCTGGAGTCTTTGGGCCCCAGAGTGGGGATCAGAGCAGGATTATTGGGCTCTGGGTCCCCGGGCACTGATGGGAACATATGAGTTCAAACCCTGTCCCGAGACTCTGCGGGGTGTCACCCTGCAGACGGCGGCTACCAGAACACCGAGACGCCAGACATGCTGTCTCCTCTGAGGGTGGTAACAGCCGCCGACACTTAGCAAGCCCTACTGTGCGCCTGGCACTGTACAAACCTCTGCACACGACCCCTCACCCTATCCTCACAACCACCCCTGCAGGCACGGCCCCATTTTACAGATGAGAACATGGAGGCCCCGAGAGGTAAACAACTGTCCAGAGGTCCCTAAAGCATCCTGACGCTCTCAGTCTCTCTTCTACTCTTTCACTAATAATTCCTGGGAAGTAGGAACTGTGATATTTTTCCCACTTGATAAGTGGGGAAACTGAGGCTCAAGGCCCCATGGGATTTGGGCCTAGAGCCGGACTTCAGATTCCATGAGCTTAACCGCTGTGTTCTGCTCTGTACCAGCAAATAAAGGCGAAAAGACGGAGCCTTGGGATCCGCTGAACAAGTGCTGAGTGTCCACCCAGCCCCACTCCTCCAGCCGCTCCCGGGGCACAGGGGTCGCTTCCCCGGGGCAGAGTGCACCAGCAGCAAGGAGTGACCGCAGGGCCTCCGGGCAGAACGAATGGGGGCAACGACATCTTTTGTCTCCTGAGTGTAGTCTTTTGGCCTGGACGGGCGCATGGCCAGCCTGGCCCCCGAGCCATGGCTGGATCTTTTCCACCTGCTTGGAGCCAGAGCGAGCCCTCCGTGGCTCTCCGTGGCCCACTCGGAGCTGCACCCTCCCGTGTTTATCTAACTTCCCTGACCCCGGCAGGCGCGTGTCGCCTTTTTCTTCCTTTCTCAAAATCCAGGACACAATAGGAAGCGTTTCCTTGAACTTATTAAAAAATCCAGACTTGTAAATTAATTTGTCCGTGTTGTACAAAGGCAGTGCAGATGGACTCATTAGCATGCACACAACAAATAATTATAGATGAATTTTTAGCTGGCCTGCCTAATGCGCTTGCTGGGTTAATTATGTCAATGTATAATTACATCAGCCCGGGGAGACATAATGGCATACCCCGCTGAGCAGGCCCAGCCTAATGACGGGGCGTGGGGGGAGTGCTGACAGAGGAAAGACGGCCGCCTTCCCACGCACCTGCTTACCTCGGCACAAACGCCCATTGTCCCAGCCTCCCGCCACCTAAACAAACAGGCGGGAGGAGATGGATACAATGCAGAGGCGACCTTGTTCCAGCCAGACCTGAAGGCCCCCACGTACAGTCACTGCCCAGTTTCTTCCATCAGCAGATATTTATTGGGTCGGACTGTGTGTCAGGCTTCATTCACCCATAGGGGGTCTAGTGGGGGAGCAAAGACAGATGCGGTCCTGGCCCTGCCTTGTTGTGGAGTTTGCAGTCCAGTAGGTGTTAATTAGGTGGACTTGCAAATCAATAAAAATTTTAAGTACAATGAATGCTGTGAAGGAAAGGTGCAGGCAGCTGGGAGAGCTCATATCGGAGGACTGACCGGTCAAGGAGGGCTTCCTGGAAGAAGTGGCATTTGAGTTGCAAAGACGAGTAAGCATGAACTGGCTGAAGGGTGGGGGGGG